AAGAGTTCAGCACAGGGCTCATGCATGTACACTTTAAAAAGCTCAATCCAGACCTCCTCCTCCCCCGCCCCCAACTACAACAAAATCAGTAGACAGCCCTGAATTAGAGCAGAAAAAAATTAATGGATCAAAGAAAAATTTGAGAAAAATCTGATGAAATAAATCGGAAAACATCAATTAATTGGTATCCTCTTGATGGCCTTTTTGAGCATCTCTCTCAATTGCTTGATAACATTTTGGGATATATCCGGATTTAAATTTTAGATGCCCATTTGTCCTAGTATTTGCATAATCTCATTTGCAGAGTACAGTGTACTTTTTGTGTATGTCAGATGCTAAGGACAAACCCCTTCTACGACCAATTTATTAATTAGTTATTAATGTAGACAAATGCTCATGTACCCTTTACAGCTCATTTTATGTTTGTTATTACCAAAGAAAATAAAGTCAGTCTGTCGATCACTCGATATAGTGTCTGACAGTGGAGTCTAAAAAGTAATCGGGTTTCCTTGCATAATTCGAAAACTAGGACACTAATTTCACAAAAAAGACTATACGTGGCATTTTCATAATTCCTACAAAGTTCTACAGAATTTGATGTTGGCTGCAAAAGGGATACACTAGCTAGCTACCTTTATTAGGAAAAAAAAAGAGGTGAAATAGGAAAAAGCTGCAGGAAAATACATTCTAATAAAAACTGCAATTATAATTTTTCAATTAATCAGTTAATTGAATACAGTTTAATTAAGAGTATTTCTGAATTGCTTGCCATAAATTATCTTTAGACCTCTTTTAAATTTTGGGATACATTGGTCCAAGGTAAAAAGTCACAGAGGTAAAAAAAAAAAAAAAAAAAAAAAAAAAAAAAAAAATTCTTTAATAAAATAATCTTTATTCAATATTGCTCTCGACTTTGCAAAATATAACAAAACATATTTATATTTGTAAGGTTTACGGAAAAAAAAAATCGTCGTATAAGATGTTACAAGGGAAATTTTTTGGCGTTTCGCGACCGCAGTTTAATTGGGGGAAAATACCAACATTGTCATTTTCTTTAAAATGTATAACCATTGTGCATGTGTTTATAAAGGTATCTTTATTATCTGTGAACTGTGAATGGATATTTTGAAGTAACCTAAAAAATTTAAACGAAACCTGTTATTATACTTGACTGTATGAATTGGAATAGACGATTACATGAGAATGACAATCACCGGCGCTCTGATTTGTTGATCACTAGAATACTAGAATACTGTAATCAGTGATTTCGTTCGCACATTTTTTAAATTCTACTGGTGTATAGAAATATTGAAAATATAACTGACGCTGTACTGTTCTTCTCGGTAGCTTGTTGCTAATTTGAGAGTTTGAGAGGGGGTTGGTATCAGAACGTGACTTATTTATGTGAATGTTATCCCGGCCCAATGTGCGATTTTTGTTCCAGGTCATTTTTCTAACGGTGTTCTATTTTTGCTTAATTTAGTATTTTCACTTTGTCCGAACATAAAACATTTAATACTTTTTCGTTTAAAGTATTGGCCTACAATCGATAGCAAGTAAATAAAGATACTACATAAGGATTTGAAATATGTAATCGTTGGATATATAGTCGTTTCTCCAACGGTAAAGTGATAGCTGTATGGTAAAAATTTCGACTGACGGAGGGGTAGGGACTGGCTTCTCTTTCCGGAATATCAACATTTCTGTGTGCTTAAAAAAAAATGATGGTAAACAAAACCTGCTTTCATTATCAAAATATACTATCTAACCTCTAAGGTATCAACTTTACAAATATACTTTCTTGCTGCCCGAGTGTGAGGTGACGATTACACGAATATTGGTAATTTAAAAATTCCCGGAATAGTATATTTGCTTGGGGGGGGGGGGGGGTCATTGTGCTTTTAGAGTTATTCAGTTATTTCACTGGATAGATTTATGTATTATGCAATTTCACTTTCGGGCAATGATATAATGAAATAGATATTTGAAATAAAGAATTGACATGCAGTAAACCTTTTGCCTTTTCCATATAGGTCTATCAATTTCTTACAACTGAGGACAGGATACGTACCCTTTTCTTGAACCGTTGCTTCTTTTCCTAGTTTTTCTGTCTTTCTTTAAAACACTTGAATAATCGGTCAGGTATAGACCCACAACAGACAAGCGTTCCATCGAGGATCGTTCTATATTTTAATTGATATTCAGAATCAAAACCCTCGTTAATTTTGGTCAATTCATTGTATCGTCCTCTCTCTCTCCGCATCTCTCACTCTCTCTCTCTTGTCTCTCTTTCTCTCTGTTTCTGTCTCTCTCTATCTCCCCCTTCTCTCTCTATCTCTCCCCTCTCCTGTTTTCTCTCTTCCCATCTGTTTTCCTCCGTGTTAATTGGTAAATCATTGAAAATACATTATTTATTCAGCATATTGATCTTGGTAATAATAAGTTCTGACCAATCAAAACCGCGTAAAAGGGTATGATAGACATGATAGGATCGATATTTTGCTTTGAAAATGGTAAATTCATCAACTTCTTTACAGGAACATATGCCTGTTTGCAAGAGGGGTAGCCTAGCCATAGTGTGTCGTTACCACGTTTCCACCTTTCCACCTTTTCATTTGTCGTTATGCATGGGTATAAAAACATTTTTTAAGTCTGCGAGTTGTTTTTCCTCCTGTAAATTCCACAATCTTATACAAAATTCAGCAAATTGCATGCTACGGGCGCAAAACTGCCTTATTTTCTTAACTTAAATTAATTCCAATGACGTGTTCACTGTTCACTCACCTATACACTCTTTCACGATTATAAGAGTGCGCATGCGGGCGACATGGGCGCCATTTTGCAACACTACATGCGCGTCTGAAAACATTGATGACACAATGTTTATTCTCAAATTTAAATGGCGGCTTTAACCGTGAAGGGGTGTATTATGGTAGTTATATGTAAGGTAGCCTAATGGATTTTTTTTAGAAAGGGCAATATCAAGATCAATAATGCTTGTAAATTGTATAATGATACATTTTCCATATTGTTCCATTTCTTATTACATGCATTATGCACAAGCTTTATTTCTATCAATTTAATTCATTTTTGTGATTTGTCCAATCTAAGTTCAACATGGATATTTGTTCACATGAAAAACATAGGCTCAGACATTGTTTACAAAGAACATAATTAGGATACAAAATATGGATATATTTTGGTGATGACATAATAAAATAATGATCATACATAATATGGATTTTCGTTTGCTTATGGCTTGTTTAGTTTCCTTAAATTAAATAATTTAGCTGTCTTCATGTATATTTATAAATCAAAATTATTTACCGCTATAAACATGGTAAATTCAGCTTTTAAACTGAATAAAAGTAAATCGGAAAAAATCTGATGAACGAGATATTTAAGAAAATAAAAATAAAGACTTATATTGGCAAGTGATAACCATTTTATGATTATGACTGACTATTTTATTATTTCCTTAAATATTATTTTTAATTTTTCATGTAACTCATTTCATTATTAAGAATAGACAGGCCTAAACGAGCACCTACATACACATACATACCCACACGCACAAACACACATGAACACGCGCACACATACATACACACCTCACCCTCCCACATTCGCAAAGATCCATATGCCCAGAATCAGTTAGTATATGATCGTGCCTCTGCGGTTCTCTTGCTTAAAGGCACGTTTTATAACAATATTTCAAGGCTAATTAACATTCATTTATGGGAGAGGCAACAACAAAAGACTGATTGCTTCATAGACAATTTTCTGTACGCAATTTCATTTTAAATGGAAGAGTGTAGTGGAAGTTATTATGCGGTGTGTAAATAAATGCATAACTACACCATGATGTATGTGATGTTTGATTTAAACAGCTTTTTAGGATAGTTCTTTTTGTTCACGGCTGCCGCAATAGACCTGTTCGACATCAATATTTGTTTTGCATGTTTATTGAATTTGGTAATTAGCTCGATGTTTTCTGATTTATTTTATCAGATTTTTCTCAAATTTTTCATTGATCCATTTAATTTTCCGCTCTAATTCAGGGCTCTCTACCAACTTTTTAAAATATTTTTTTTAGGGGAGGGGGGAAAAGAGGAGGTCTGGATTGAGCTCTTTAAAGTGTACATTTGCATGAGCCCTATGCTGAACTCTTTATTATATGTGGAGCCGGGAATCTGGATTTAGATTTTAGGGGCCATGTGTCTCTGGGACCAGTTAGCCCTGTTTTGAATAAAAGGGTGGCCTTAATTCCCCTATATAAGATCCGTATTATTATAAATATTATAAGTGTACTGATCATACAATGATCCCATATTTATATAGAACTCATTAGCAAAGAATCAAAGGTTTTTAGATAACAATTGAAGAATAAATGTGTGCATATAAACTATTGTGCTATATGTTTACAATGACAATAATTTGGTCATAGAAGGGGTTTGTCCATAGCATCTGACATACACAAAATGTACACTGTACTCTGCAAATGAATTTATGCAAATACCAGGACAAATGGTCACCTACAATCTAAATCCAGATATATCCCAAAATGTTAATATCAAGCAATTGAGAGAGATGCTCAAAAAGGCCATCAAGAGAATACCAATTAATTGATGTTTTCCGATTTATTTTATCAGATTTTTCTCAATTTTTTCTTTGATCCATTAAATTTTTCTGCTCAGGGCTCTCTCCTGATTTTGTTGTAGTTGGGCGGGGGAGGAGGAGGTCTGGATTGAGCTTTTTAAAGTGTACATGCATGAGCCCTGTGCTGAACTCTTATTATATGTGGAGCCGGGAATCTGGATTTAGATTTTAGGGGCCATGTGTCCCTGGGACCAGTTAGCCCTGTTTAGAATAAAAGGGTGGCCTTAATTCCCCTTCAGGAAGAGAGATGAGGCGAGTACCTGCAGTTGGATATAGACACATCATGAGATAACAAAAAACGAAGGTTTAAAAAATAAAGACAGAAGCGAGATTCCAAGACGTACAGAGATAAAAGGCGGTTATTTATTGTATATCAAAAGACAAACAAATTGGGTCACACGGATGAATACAATCAAAAGGCATGAGTTTGATGATGAACGCGATAGATTTGATTTTAAAATGAAAACATGCCTTAAAAACAATTCTAGGCATACAAATTAATCAAATTCTTGGAAAGACATGTGCACCTGAGATTGTGCAACACAAACAATATGTACACATGGACATTACACATCGCTACAATTACTTACTTATCTATTCAATTGAATTAAGTACACTGTATTAATTATTCTTTTTTATACTTTTATTGATGGTTTACATGAAAATGTATAACTATAAAGAGAGTCCGGCCGCGTTCTCTGATTTTTACACACTCCTCAATTACTGTATTCTTAAATATAATTTGTCACTTGATCTTAAATGCAGTTTTTAATGGTACAAGGTAAAATGAAAATATACTGAGAAATGGCTGGAAAACATTGCCAAATAAAACTATTATTTAATTGAACTGAATTGAAATGTGACAAAGAAAAAAAATTGTTTACTTTTTATTCCTTATGAAATTTAAGTGTAACCTTGTAAGAAAGAACACTGATACATCAATATCCCAATAAAAAGGTTGTCACTCCTACTTCTATGTGTGATACTGTTTATTTGTATGTTTATGAATAGCGACCCTCACTTGGTATTATGAGTAGCGACCGGTCCTTACGAGTAATGACCTTCAATGTGGATAATGAATAGTGACCTTTATCTCACATAATGAATAATGGTCATTATGCCATTATGAAAAGTGACATCCTTTCCGCTTTATGAATAGCGGTCCTTCACGTATAGGAAGTTGCATGTTATGAATAGCGGTCTTTATGACTAGCGAGGTTACCCTTTAAAAGGTTTCTCTCCTGTATGTGTTCTAAGGAGCCTAATGAGATACTTTTCAATTAATCCCTTGCATTTATATATATGCAGAGGCGCCAGGAGTGGAGGGTGGGGGGGGGGGGGAACGGTGAGCCCCCTGGAATTCCTGCCCCGCCCCAAACCCAAACTGCTTCTCGCGTGCCTGTATGTACCGTATTCTCAAATGACAGGTAATATTATCTTTAGGCAAAGATTCCCTTATTACTATATACAAAGTACAAACCTTTAAAAGAGTTTCTCCCCTGTGGATTCTTAATGGATTGTAATGGTACTTCTTTGACAAAACCCTTTATATTACACCGAGAACACCTAAAAGGGTTTCTCTCCTGTATGTGTTTGAAGGCGGCTAGTAAGAGTTATACGACAAAATCCCTAATTAGATTTGAGACATTTTTGCTGTGTGTGTTATTAGGAAATTAGCAAGATCATGCTATGAATTTAATATAAAATCCCTTTTACTTATACATTTAGATGGCTTTTTCTCCATTATGTGTTTTCATATGGCTAGTTCGATTACTGTTACATGAAAATATCTTAATACAATCTAATTAGCAGTTTAATATAGGGATACTGTTATGTTCTTATATGCCATGTAAGCTCACTTTTATAAGTAAATTCATTATTACATTAGGAACACTTAAATAGTTTCTCTCCTGTATGTATTCTTGGCTGGCTCGTACGTAACATCACTTTTATAACAAAATCTCTTCTTACAATCACAACATTTAAAAGGGTATTACAAGATGAACCTTGTTGAGTAAAAACCTGTATCACAAACGGAACACTTAAAGGGTTTATTTCTTATATGTGTTCGAAGGTGGCTAGTAAGTTCCCCTTTTTAAGAAAATATCTTATTACAATCAGGACGTTTTCATGGTTTCTTTCTAGTACATGGATATGTGCCCTAATATGAAGATTAAACTCTAATCACAATGGGAGCATCGATTTTCAAGGCTTTTCTCCACTGTGTGTTCTTGAATGTAGCAAGATTAGTTTGGCAATAAAAAAACCTGATAACAATGGGAACATTTATCAGGATTTTCACCATTGTGTGTTCTTAAATGTCTAATAAGGGTACTTTTATGTGTAAAACCCTTATCACACTGGGAACACTTAAAACATTTCTCTTCTGTATTAGTTCTTAGGTGACAAATAAGATGATTCTTTAAAAAAAAACCTCTATCACAATGGGAACACAGATGCAGCTATTCTCCACTGTGTGTTCGTGAATGTCTAATAAGCAGGGGTGAAAAAAACCTGTATCACAAATTGGAATCCTTAAAGGGTTTCTCTCCTGCATGTCTTCTAAGGTGGCTACAGTAAGACTAGTCTTTTTAGAACCTCTTTTTATTACAATGGGGACACTGCATAAGGCTTTTCTCATGTATGCGTCCTTACATGACATGTAAGATTACCTTATTGGCAAGAAAAACCTATAGGTATATCACAATAGGAGCATTGATACAGCTTTTCTCCACTGTGTGTTCTTAAACAGATATGGATATTTCTTCAAGAAAAATTATTATCACAATGGGAACAGTGAAAGGATTCTCTTCACTGTGTGTGTTCTTGAATGTGTAATAAGGAAACTTTTATGGGAAAACCCCTATCACACTGGGAACAATTGCAAGGTTTTCTCCTGTATGTGTTCTAAGGTGCTTAGTAAGATCACTCTTTTGAGAAAATGTCTTATGACAATAGGAGCATTGATAAAGATTTACTCCACTGTGTGTTGTTAAATGTATAATAAGGATACTTTTACGGGGAAAACCCCTATCACACTGGGAACACTTAAAAGGTTTTTCTCCCGTATGTGATCTAAGATGCCTGGTAAGATCATTCTTTCGAGAAAATGTCTTATCACAATAGGAGCATTGATAAGGCTTTTCTCTACTGTGTGTTCTTAAATGTCTAATAAGGATACTTTTATGGGGAAAACCCTTATCACACTGGGAACACTTGAAAGTTTTCTTTCCTGTATTTGTTCTAAGGTGACGCTTAAGATCCTTCTTTTTGGAAAAATCCTTATCACAATGGGAGCATTGATATAGCTCTTCTTCACTGTGTGTCATTAGATGTGTAATAAGGGTACCGATACTTCTTTCAGAAAAAGCCTTTTTACACTTGGAACACTTAACATGTTTCTCTTCACCGTGTGTTCTTAAATGTCTACGAAGCGAACTTCTTTGAGAAAAACCTGTATAACACTGGGAACACTGAAAGGGTTTCTCTCCTGTATGTGTTCTTAGGTGGCTGGTAAGATGAGTCTTTTGAGAAAACCCCTTATCACAATAGGGACATTTAAAAGATTTCTCTCCTGCATGTATTCTAAGGTGCCTAGTAAGACCATTCTTTCGAGAAAATGTCTTATCACAATAGGAGCATTGATAAGGCTTTTCTCTACTGTGTGTTCTTAAATGTGTTATGAGGGTACTTCTGTAAGAAAAACTTGTATCACAATTGGAACACTGATAAGGCTGTTCTCCTGTATGTGTCCTTACATGACAGGTAAGATTACCTTTGCAAGAAAAGCCCTTACCACAATAGGAACATTGATAGGGCTTTTCCCCAATGTGTGTTCTTAAATGGATAGTAAGATTAATTTTGCAAGTAAAAACATTATCACACTGGGAACACTTGAAATGTTTCTCTTTTGTACATGTTTTAAGGTGGCTAGTAAGCTCATTCTTTTGAGAAAACATTTTTTTATCACAATGGGAACATCCTTGAGGCTTTTCGTTGAGGCTATGTGTTCTTAAATGGCTAATAAGTGTACTTGCATGGGGAAAACCCTCATCACACTGGGAACACTTGAAAGTTTTCACTCCAGTTTGTGTTCTCAGGTGGCTAGTAAGCTCATTGTCGACCTGGTGTGTTTTCTGATGTAGTATAAGAATGTTCTCATCTGTAAATGTCTTACTGCAATGTAAACACTGATGGGACTTCTCTCCACTGTATGCAGTTGTATGTGGGTGTATCTTGTCCTGTCCATTGTCCAACTGTTTATCATCTGGGGAGGAAAATATACAGTATTCCTATTATCCAACTATTTACTTCATCAACAAAGCATCATTAAAGGGGCTTTGTAACATTGTTCAGATGAGAGAAAATGGTGCTAAGGGAGTGACTTCAATGCTAGATGTACAATTAAAGATAATCTTAAAATTTGAGTGAAAATGGACCATTATTAAGGATAAAAATAGGAACAAAAAATGATCTGATCAATTTCGTAATTCTTCCAACTATATTATTACAATTTAATTAAATTTTAGCAATGTTATGGCGCTATACCATTCCAGACACTTAAGTGTTGACATATTTCTATAAGTCTGTCTTATTTCTTATTTTCATGGAAAAATGGTTGGGAGAATTTACTGTTAGAGGGTGTCGCACAGTGACGCCTTCAAAGAAAACCATTTGTGGTTTGAAGAAAAATACTTAATTTTTTCCTCAACCTTTAACAATGTTACCAGCTAGGTCACTTTAAGATATTTAAATAAAAGGTCAAGTCAATCAGCTTAACGCTCAGTTTTACAAGCAAATACACTCTGATTCATTATCAAAGATCTTACATCTATTTGATCAAAAGGAAATATTAATATCTAAGTTACGAGTGATGGTCATTTAGGCCATTTAGGCCATTTAGGTCATTTACTGTGGGGAGGGGAGTGGAGGGAAGGACGTGTTTTCTGTGGGTTCCCAAAATTTCAGGCGTTACTCTGGTTTGGGGGCACGATAAGAATTATAAATTACATTGGACTACGGATAACAAGACTTTCAAGGCAATTTTGAGAAAATCTGGACTTTTCGTCATCGATGGACCTGATTTTAAAGATACAGGTGAGTTCTGGTAATGCGATTGCATTGTGAACGAAAAGGTGTGGAATGGATCAGAAAAAGTTGATCATATAGCATGTAAGTATTGGTGTGTACTGCAAGGTTCTGGATTCATCAAAATCATCATAAATTTAGCAGAGTCTTGGTAAAGTAACAATCACTGTACACAGAAAGATGTATATGGGACAAGACAAATGTATGTGTCGGGGCTAGTACTACGGTACCTTGATTTCCTTATCTTTCTATGCTATTACACAGCCAGTATACATTTTCTTCCAAAATTGTTTGGCACATGACATTTATTTGTAATCTTGAACATTCAGTGTAAGTTTTGTTAGATTCTGTGAGAATTCATTTTCCTTTTTCTACCAGAACTCAAGTTTATCTTTAAAGGGATAGCTAAGTTCTGTTTTCAGAACGCAAATGCCTTCAAGTGCATGGTTATTGCTCTTATTCTTATCTATGACATTTTTAGTTCCCTTTTAAAACCTAAAATTGCTATGAAGGTCATTTTAGACCCCAAAATGTGTGAAATTTAGCCAATACGATTATACCAATTCAGCTCCACTTTTAACAAAATATGGTGACCGTTAATTAATTGATTATTTAATTGAAGAAAACAATACATGGACCTGCCCATTCTGCATAATATAACCAACACGAGAATGCCAACAAAAAAGCCAACAACGGCATTGGCTGAAATACAACGTTAAAGGCGCTTTTTTGTTTTTTCAACGGCATTTTCAAATTATCTAATATTTGTGGTGGTACACAAGTATTAGAAATCGTTATAAAGATGATTTTGAAAATAATATTGCTATGTGACATTCGTTTGTCTCGCAATGTATGGTCAACAAGGGATCTGAAAGATCACAACGTTTCGTGTGCCGCTGCTACACTTCGTCAGGTGATAAAATATATTGTAAGCAAGCGTTTTTTATGGTTGAGCACCCGTGTGCTTCAACCAATAAGCTTTGTCCGTTATTGTTCTAATTATTTGACCGCTGGTCCGCCCAGTCCATCCGTAGAGTATAATAATTTTATCACCTGACGAAGAGTAGAAGCGGCACACGAAACGTCGTGATCTTTCAGATCCCTTGTTGACCATACATTGCGAGACAAACGAATGTCACTAGCGATATTATTTTCGATACTATATCCGCGCAATGAGTAATATATTTAGCATTAAAGATGATTTTGTCATTTAAATTGTACCGGTATGTTCTTTCAAATTGACACTCAGTTTTTCATTATCTCACAAAAAATTATTTTGTGTAGCGCCCTTTGCAACAGAACTCAACTCTCCCTTTAAAACATTCGAAAAACTTGCACTTTTGATAGGATTTAAATTCTAAAATTTTTGTTTTTCTTCGCGTATTCTTGGATATTTGTTTCGACTATTTACGCGGAGAAGCACCTGTTCAACGCAGCATCAACACATACGCAGAGCAACAGCACAGCGCATGGTGCTTTTCCTCATGCACAGCAGAGTGTGACGTCATAATAGGAGACTCTGTGGATTGTCGACTTATTTTTCAGTCAAGTGCACATATCCTTTTCTTGAACATGATATTATTTATTTTGTTGCTTGATAAATCTTTATAAATATTTATTATAATTATGAAACTTTAGATGGTTACAATTTTGCTTTTTAGTACAATTCTGAGTTTCGAGTGCTGATAATTAAAGTCAAATTTTCTTTATTTTAATAATAATGATTGTTCGTGGATCAATCGGGTGGGTGGTACATTCACTAACCACTTATCATAGGCTCTGTATAAGCTTGGCTCGTTAAAACTCTTGTGAGTAATGTGCTGCAGGATTCCATATCCTTAAACTGCTGCATGGCGAACTGAGCAACAAAACCAAGCTCTGTAATTATTAGGATCTCTGTCCAGTAGTGCAGTGTTTGTGCCATCAACCCGGATCTACCAAATTAATTGAGTCATAATATCTATAATATTTTTTCCCTATAAAATGAGAGTAATATTAATAGTAATTGCTTCATTCTTTTAATTAAATGTAATGTTAATTGTTATTGTATAATTGTGTTACGTGGGGGCACTCTACAAGACTCCTATCTCGCACCCCGGGGCAATGTATCAGACACAGCCGGTTGTAGGAACTGATCCGAAGATCAAGATACATTAATCTTGATCGAAGGAGACATAAACGAACGAAGGCCCCTACCATTTTCCTTTTTTGTTAGTTTAATTAATTATGTATAAGAGATAAATATTATGTTCATACTTAAAGATACTATATGTCCGTGTTGTCAACATCAAATCCTGTAGCCATTTGCATATATGTCAATCATGTATGTCCAATCTGTGAAATTTAAACATTAGCAGTGTCCTAGTATTCAAATTATGCAAGGAAACTCGTTATTTTCTAGACTTCACTGTCAGACACTATTGAGTGACTGACATCTTTTTTCTTTAGTAATAACATACATCAAATGAGCTGGAACAGGTACATGATCATTTGTCTACTCTACATCAATAACCCACTACTTGTAATGGCCAAAATTAAACTGATTGAATCTTTGTGCAGTACCAAACGTACAATTCGGTACAATTAAGGGTCTGAAAATCAGACTATTAAATTTACTAAGGTGATTGCAATCACTTAGAGGTACTATATGTCCCATTAGCAGGTCAAAAAAAATGAAAAGGTTAAATACCAACAGCATTTGAAAGACAATAGGCCTACTTATTTAGAACTTCCCTCAAAACGAAAGGGTTTGAAAATGTTTTTTTGTGGGAAAATAACGACCATTATATAGTTATTGAATCAGCGTAAATGACTGCAATCAGCTAAGTAGTCCGACTTTTCCTAGAGATGCAAGCCTCTTGACAAAAAAAACAAAAGAGACTAAATATCCACCCCACCCCCATCCCCACGGGTGAGGGAAGGCACCCAAAGCAGCTGCCGACTCCATGGAGGAGCACCAAGGGCAGCAGGAGCTACAGGCCCAACCCCACCAACAGGCTGATGGCCAACAGCAGCACCAGGCAACCTGGACCTAAAAGGTATATTTAATGCCGGAGCAGCAACACTCGCGAAATCAGAACAAATAAGAGCAAGGTTTGACCAGGGCCAGCTCAATGCCGGCCGAGGCACGGGAAGGGGTAATTGTTGAGCCTCTGCCCGAACCCAGGATGACCTTCTAGTCTACTGGCAACCCCCGTTGCCCTAACAAACGCATCAAAAAGCCACGAAGCCCAGCCTGAGCGGCTAGCTAGAGAAAACAGCGACTGAAGCAAAGACTTAACTCAGTTTTTCTCTACCTTTGACCCAGTTGGAGGCTGGACGTCAGAACGCTTGTGCTTCTTACCCGAAGACACTGGAAAGAGGCAATCTTAGCAGCCTTTCTAGACTTTGTAAGCCCAGACTAGACCCAGTGTGACTGGGTCGGTCCCGCTTCACTGCGCCAGAGGCTCAGCACGCATGACAACGATAGCTTCAGTGAGACCGGAACCCTTGCGTTTCACGGACATGGTTTGAACAACGTCGTGGGTGAAGACCGGGCCACTCCCAAACAAGAATTTAAGGGCCGTTTCATGACAACAAAGCCGTAAGACACAGAGCTTGACCCAAAAGGGGAGCTCAGTGCCGACTTCTACTTGACTGGCTGACCCAGGGGTGTCGCATCCGAAAAGCCCTCTGGTATGGGGGAGAGAGAAGTCTCCAGCGTGAGCACGTGAAGTCCCTACCCCCCTCTTTAATTTTGCTTGTCTCGTAGCCACCTGTCTGTGACGGGAGAGAGAGAGCTACAGAGAGCCGACTCCTGGGTTACCAAGGCCGCACAGGGTGCGGCGGATTCACTAAGTCGACACCTCAGACTTGTCGGCCGTTCCCTGGGCAGGGCGGTAGGACAGTCTCTTATGGCTTCAACCGCCCCCCATCTGTGACAGGAGGGAGCTGGCTCCTGAGGACTCAAGGCTGCACAGGGTGCTGCTAAATCACTCAAAAAAGCACAGATCACTGGCTATGCCAGTGATTGGGGTCCAAATGTCAGTGGTCGCAAAAGCAACATCATTCTTACCCAGGGCCCGATTGTCAGTGGTCGGCAAGCCGATGACGTCCGTGCATAGTGTGCGGCTAGGGCTTATGGCCGGAAAACTGGCGACCCCCTTGTAGCCGTAATGCAGAACTCCAAAACAGTTGTCC